TACTTTACAGTTTTATTAAACAAAACATACGACATACGAGTTTAATGCATAACAATTTTACATGATTTAATGATGTACATTTTGGCTACTTTACAGTTTTATTAAACAAAACATACGACATACGAGTTTAATGCGTAACAATTTTACATGATTTAATGATGTACATTTTGGCTACTTTACAGTTTTATTAAACAAAACATACGACATACGAGTTTAATGCGTAACAATTTTACATGATTTAATGATGTACATTTTAGCTACTTTACAGTTTTATTAAACAAAACATACGACATACGAGTTTAATGCTTAACAATTTTACATGATTTAATGATGTACATTTTAGCTACTTTACAGTTTTATTAAACAAAATACACGACATACGAGATTAATGCTTAACAATTTTACATGATTTAATGATGTACATTTTGACTACTTTACAGTTTTATTAAACAAAACATTCGACATACGAGATTAATGCGTAACAATTTTACGTGATTTAATGATGTACATTTTGGCTACTTTGCAGTTTTATTTAAATCCCAATGAATTTGTGTGAGAGGTTTTATACAAATGTTTGATGTTTATGGCAAGAATCTGACATGTGGATTATTTGTTGTATTACTACGTCACGTAAATTACTTCTTTTAGAGTATTTAACAGTTGGTATACTTTGGAAGGACTGAAACACACATACTATATAAATAACACTATTCTACTAATTAAGTCATTATGAAGCCTGTAATTACTGGAATCTTAAAAATGTTTAGCACATTTTTCTGGGTGTTGAGATCTGTTTCATCCAGTTTAGAAGAAAGGGGGGCACTATTTTGTTAGCTGCATTTTGATCTATGTAGTCGTTCTTCGGTCACTTGAATATGGAATTCTTCCAACAACATAATTTTCAATGCTATAGTGTAGCATTACGCCATATCAGAAAATCTATCATCAAACCTCCGTCCGCGACAGTACGACTATTCGGATTGTAATGAAATTCAGTATAGGGATTTTCAACTTGATCAACAATTTGTGAGTTAGTGGGGTAAACGTGTTCATCTCAACCCTGAATCCTTTGATTTTCAGTTCCCACTATTACGATTAATCGTTTCATGAAATTGACAACTCGAAGAAAATTACTCTTTTAACTTTAAAGAAAACCACGGTTTTATCACCATGTAAGAAAAAAAGTTTGAAACTAACATTGGTGACCAAGTTAACAAGACAATAAAACTAAAAAAAAAACGTAATTATACATGTTTTATAATAATATAAGTTCGAAGAAATTACTTTGAAATGGTTGTAACAAAAATTCAAGACTGTTGAATCACTGTAAGTACAGTGACAACGTAAAAAACGAAATACATGTTTAGTTAAAAATACACTTTAAATATTTAGCACGGATACTCAAGTAGATTCTGGATGTAGAAGTGAATAACATACAACATAATATGAGTATTTAAGGCGGGTGTTCATTTAGATACAAGAAGTAGAAGTATATAGCACACAGCACATTATGCAATACTTAAAACGCTTACTCTAGAGATAACACAAGTAGGGCTAGATAAAATATAGTACATTAGATGTACTTCCGCAGGGTCCTTGGGAGTGTTCTATTTCAAAAGTATAAATTAAACCAAAATTAGGAGTAAAAAATATTTTCATTTCTTGCTTTTGAAGTTCATATGTCATGTTTTGTTTTAGCCTACAGAGTGCTTAATTCTTCTCGTGATTCATGGTATGCTTACGTTTTACTGACGTCACGTCAGTACAAATTGCAACGTTAAGCGTGTGCCTCATATGACGTCATTTTAGTGTGTACTGACTGAATGACAGACGACACACTACTGTATGGTGGTGCTACTGGTTAAAACGGGTAACCCCTCCAGGCGGCTTTTGGTGCCCTTTCGGGGAAATTGTGTAATATTTAAGATGCATACTCATAAAGATAACGTATGTAGAAGTGAATATTATACGTTATATTTTGTAATATTTAAGGCAAATATTAATGTAGATAAAGCATGTAGAAGTAAATAACGTATTGTAGTGATTATTCAACAAGGAGTCTAAGCTAAGCAGAAGGTCAAATATGGGCAGCTTATTTCAATTTTTTAAGTTTCACAGTGAACGTCAACATTTAAAGCATTCAGTGAAATCTTAAAGACATTAACAACACAATACGGTAATATATTATTGAGTAGAGAAAGGTGATGTCCATATATGGTAACTTCGAATTACAGAGACATAAGTCTTACACTAGTACGTCTAAACTAGTGAATATCAGTTGTTATTCCGTCGCTTGAACGCCCAAAAGACGCCTGAAGTTACGAACTGTTACGTAATAGACAAAGGACGCCACCTACTGGGTACATAACTATTAAGTAATATGCTAATAATGCCGGCACCTGAGGATTACATAATTGTTACATACTGTTGCGTCAGCGAGGTCACGTGACTAGTGTCACGCCACCTCTCGAACCTTCGGGAATAGTCGGGAGATTACTAGATATAGGGTAGTCTGGTATATATATAAGAGGGTGACAACGTGACGGAATAATGTGTGTAAGTAATGAGTAATTGAACTGCAGTCAGAGAGAGACGTATTGTTGAAGTTAACGTCGTTATTATAGTTTGTTATAGTGCGACTGTTGAAAATAAGTGTATCGTAAAGTTGTATTCGGAAAGAATAAACCAGTTTTATTAAGTAAGGATTTGTGTCGCTAAAGTTTCGTCGGAACGAAGTTACGGAAAATCAATTAACAAACGGAGACGTAACAATACCATACAAAGACTTCTGTCACCTGAGGGTTACATGACTGTTACATAACAGGCGTGGCTGCTTCAGATGATAGGGAAGGTGTGACATCATAGTTTCACGAAGTGGTACCAGAGAACATGCTGCTAGGGGTATATTGCTTGTTTGTTTGTTTTGAATTTCGCGCAAAGCTACACGAGGGCTATCTGCGCTAGCCGTCCCAAATTTAGCGGTGTAAGACTAGAGGGAAGGCAGTTAGTCATCACTACCCACCGCCAACTCTTTTACCAACGAATAGTGGGATTGACCGTCACATTATAACGCCCCCACGGCTGAAAGGGCGAGCATGTTTGGTGGGATGGGGATGCGAGTCGAGCGTCCTAACCACCTGGCCATGCCGGGCCTGGGTATATTGCTAGAGGAAGAGGAAGATGATGAGTTCATCAATGATGAGCATCCAGATAGTTTGTGAGAGAATCACCAGATGGTGATGTAGATCAAAGATATTAATGTGTCTCAA